GGGAATCTGGAGTTTGTTTAAAGAAAGGGGATCTGGAGAAGATAAAGCAGAGAACTCAGCTATGCAGAGCTGATGATGCATTCCAAAAGATAATTGAAGAGCTGTACTGCTCTACAGAGTGCTCTGTTCTATATTGTTATTATTTTTTCACTTAAAAAGCTTTTGAAGCACCAGAATCACATGTACCTATATTATATACAAACCTATGGGAACCAGCGGCCCATGTCTCTTTCTTGGAGCGAACAAATGACACTGATTCCCTGAGCAGAAATCCAGGCCTTTGCAAATGAACGTCACATACTTGAACTGCTCGAAGCAGCCATACACACGCTACAACGTCTCGAGCGCCTGTTTTCTTTCCACCCTTGGATGCTTTCATAATTCTGGGAACACCGTGCTCTGAGGTGTCAGTGTGTCTGCTCAGGTGGATCTGAGGGAAAAGAGGTATGAGAGACAGATGGGAGCCTTAGAAAAATACTGATATAAAACAGCTGGATTACCACAGCTAAAGGAGTTATAGACCCGAGTGTGACAGTACAAGTGCTGTGCCGCAGTATCCCAGAGAGCAGCCAGCCCTCTAGTTAAGTGAGGGTGATAGCAAACCTGAAATAACAGTTCGGACTGACAGAAAGCCTTATTTCTGCAACCTGGCAAACAAGCTAAATGTTTATGTACTACAAGCACTTTGAATACTTATTAAAAGAAGTAAAAAGAATAGAAATGCAAATGCTTTTGTTAGGCAACCAGCTTCCTTCCAGTGGGTAATTCAATCCTATTGCTCAGGAAGTGCCATTGGTTTCTTTTTCATTAGGTTTAGGGCACAGAGGGCATTTGGATGAATGAGAGGCAGAAATGGTGGGAAAATACTCTGTTATCCGTAGCCTTTGGTAAGCGTGGGTAATTAGTGAAACCTTCGCAAGCAGTAGCTTTCATTTCATTGTAATTGCAAAATAATTATCTCATCTGGTAGGGATATCATCTGTGTTGATTAATGACATACAGGTAATATACAAAACACCTGCTTCAGAAGTATGTGAGCTAGCGTGGTTCCAAGTGAGTTGGTCAGCTGAATACCCCACAAGTAGGTGTACTGTACACGAAATAGCATATAGCACTGTTTGCTGTTCATTTTAAGGGGGTGGAATTTGCCTCTTTGGGGCAGTTTTTGAGTGCTGCTGAGAATTTGTTGTCCTTACTGGTTTCAGAATCCATAAACTTACCCCCTGGAAATAAGAATTAAATCAGTTGGTTGTGGACCTTGTTATTAGGGATGAACTTTAGAATCTGTAACAAAACAAAACCAGTAACAACAACAAAAAACTTTCAGAGAAAGATGCGAGAATAGGAAAGGAAGAAACAATGATCTCCATAAAGATCCATGAAGAGTGAAGATGTTCCATTCACAGTTCTGCGACTGGTTTCCTCCAGCATTTCTTTGGATTTCTGCTTTACATCTCCAGTGTGGGCAGTGTTAATATTTCCTGCGTTTTGTCTTTTTAGGCAGCAAGCCCTTTGGGCAGAGCCTCCTGGGACACTTGTGTCACCAATAGTAACTTGAGGGCAGGAAGGTGTCTGGAGGCACGTTTTTGGAAAGAGGGACAGTCATTTCCTTTTCTTCTTCCCTCCCCCCTCCATTTTTAATTTTTTTTTTTATTTTTCTAAAGGAGCTCCACCTTAGTAACCAGGGAAGTTAATGCATTTTCTGAAGTTTAACTGTTAGTAGCTTAGTGTGTCAGTGGGCTCCATGGATTCCTCCTGGTAGTCATCCCCTGTTGCAGTGGTTCTGCGAATGTATCACTGTTTGCTGTTCTGTTGGTGCAGTTCAGTAGGGCAAGCTGAGGTCTGGAGCTGGAGCTGCATCTGCTGCTCTGGGAACGCCAAGCCTTGCATCTGATCTGGAATGCCAGTGAGCCCATATAAAGCTGTTAATGTCTGCTCGAGTGTTTTTTTTAGTCCTCATTACCAACCTAATAGAAAGATAATTCCTCAGCTGCTGTTCCAACCTGTGGGATTTTACCCACTTAATTAATTTTCTTTCTTGCTAAGCAAGCTCTTGTTTTAATGCAAAAGGAGCTGTGCCCTACTTGCTTTTGAGGGACTTCTCATATCTATATCAAAGGCAGCGATGCACAAAGACCCACTCTGCTCTTCTACCACCTCTTTGCACTGAAGTGTGAGCTTGTGCCATGACCCAAGGATAACAAACTGCTCTCCCACTGCCTTCTGGGAGTTCAAAATGCCAGCCTACTGCACCTCCCCAACCTGTCAGCATGTTGGCAAGCTGTCTTTGTAAATAAATACAGATATCAAACAATAAACAGATGCCTTTTTAACATACACTGTTTCAGGCTGTAATGTTCCTTTTTGCTGCAGTTCGTCTCAGCATCTGTCAAGTCATTGCCAGCTCCACAGCTCCCTTTCAATTGTATTTAATGCACAAAGATTTGTGTTGTGGTGGGTATAAAATAGGATCGGGAGCTGGCTTGTTTTACATCTGTTTTCGTGTTACTTGTGATTTATAAAATGTGAAACATGAATGCTTCTGTGTTCCTTCCCATCTCTGTGTCAGGGGATAGTGCAAACTCTTGTTCCTTATGCTTGATCAAGTGGCTTTCTGCAAGGATGTGTATGATTACAGAAGTGTACTGGGATGTGAAAAAAAGTCATTTGCAAAGCATATCACCATCAGAGCCCTAAAGTTAACAAACACCAAAGTGGGGGAAGAAGCTGTGAACCAGGGTCAGATGGAAAAAACAAACAAAACCCAATTAATTCCAGTCCTCATGTTGCAACAGACTGAAGAGGCAGGGCCCAAAGCCCCAGGGGTGCACCTCAGTGCAGTGCTGTGGGAGGATTGGCTGCTGGCTGCTGGGCTGGGTCAGGCTCTTATCTCTGCTAGTAGCCAGCAGGGGTTAGAGAGAATGTAAGAGCAGGGCAGCTAATCAGGAGAAATGCCATGTTAAGCTTCTGTTTGTTTTTGTTTTCATATTAAAAATGTATTGAGCCCAGATGACCCATAATCTATGGGGTTAAATCCTCTTTTGAGAATTTACCCGTGTGGTTAAAGGAAGCATTGGGTTCCATAATGCTGCAGTCCCTTTCTGTCTCTCTCCATCAGCCCCATAGAAAGTCCCTACTTTTTATTGTCCTCATCCAGTTCTCACATATGCTGTTGGTTTTGCTGTGGGGAGATGCAAAGGAATCACACTAATTAACAAAAATTAGACTGTTTATGCAGGTGGCAAGTCCTGAAGACAGCTCTGTCAGGTTTTTGTGAGATCTGCTGAGAGAAAGGAGAATATTCCCTCTGTCTGAGATGCTCTAAATTGGATTAGATGGGAACATAGCCATGCTAAGAGGGAAGACGCGATCCTCCACTGGAGCAGAAGATTTAGGCGATCCATAGTATCTCCTGTTTCCTAATGTTCCTTGAAGAGTGATGATTGAAATCTCTCATCTGAGCATGTATGCACACAAGACAAAATGCAGTGTTAGTGGCCCTAAATGTATTAGAGCTCTCTGCTCCTGATCACAGCGGTACATCACCTGGAATAGTAACAGGGAAAGAATGGGTTTTACCTACAAGGGCAACACGGTTCTCTCCGTAATGGAAGGAGAAAATTGGTACTAAAAGTGGCTTTGAATGACATTTCTGATGTCTCTCAGTAGCTTGTGCACCTGCCTGTGACACTTCGTATATAATGGTTTCAGAGCGTGTTACAAACCAGAATAAATAAGTCTTTTCTTTTTTCCCTGGCTGTCTCTGAAAGCTGGGAGGTACTGCCCAGTAACGTGTGTCTGAAAGGGCAAGGACCAAGTTCAGAAGGGTAGGGTTTTGTTGGGCAGCAGCCACTTTGTCCTCGTGCTGCTTTCTACGCGCAAGCACTTGCACCTCTCAGATGCTTTCACTTCCCCTTTTAAGAAACCAGGATGTGGGCAGTGCATGTGTGTTTGAATTGCTGGTTTGTGCAGAGCAGGGAACAGGCTTGTAAACAAACACCAACAGGAGGATGAAGCACAGCTGAAGAAGTGTGAGCTCACTAGGGATGTGGGCAAGAGCAACCACACAAGTACTGCTTCAATGTTCCCTTGCTCAGACCACATACAAAATGAGCACCTGTGTTGTGGAATTTTGGCTGCTGCCCTGCTTCAGTGTCCTGCAGGGCTGTGGGGAGTGCTTGCAGTAAGGACCTTGCCCCCAGCTTGTTGCCTTCACCCTGGGAGAGCTGTTGAGCACTGTGATGCAGTGGAGCAGACAGTGCTCCAAGGGGCACTTGCACAGCTGCCATTGGCTTTGGGATGGTGGCAGGACTGGCTGTGGCAGAGAATTTTTGTTTTGAGAGAGGGCAAAGCAGTGAGTTAAGCGGGGATGGAGAGGAAAGGAGCAATGCTACGAAATGGGTTTGCATGGCGCCAGCTTAACGTCTGAATTGGAGCTGTCAGGGAGAATGAGATGCAGGCTCAGTGCTGTTCTCTGGAGAGAAGCACTTACAGAGAAATTGCTCTGTTAAGCGCTGGCTCCACCTCTGCCCCAGGTCTGGCTGACTTCTGTAAGGGGAAGGCTGACAAGGGTAGCCTTCAGCCAACCTCCCTTCGCATTGGCCTTCTTTTCCTTTTTCCAGGCTCTGATTTACCTTCTCTTGCTTGCTCACTGCTATCACCACCTGTGCATCTCCCACCAAACCCTTCTCCTGGCTACACTGGTATCTTTACCCCATACTCCTGGCCTCTCTGCTCCTTCACCTTGCCCTCTTTTTCGTTCTCCTCTTGTTCTCTGCTCAGAGCCTTTCTCTATCCCATCTAAGTGGAATAAAAAGTAAGATTTGTCTTCCTAGAGTTGTCAGGGTTTTTGTCAGATGGTTCCCCTCACTGCATTTAGATGTGCAGAAAAAACTTGATCTTTACCTGAATAGGAGGAACTGACTGAGACAAAGTCACAATCCTCCTTGGGCACAATATCCAGGTATGTGTCTTACGTGTGTCACTGATGTTTCCAACAGGTTGAGCAGCCTGGATTACTGCACTGGGGTCCTGAAGCAAGGAAACCAACTGATGTGTGTTTAGCACGGCTCAACTTGTGGTGACCAAGCACTTCTCTGGAGGCCTGTCCCTCCGAGCAGCACACAGGTAAGAGGCAGCACTGCTGCTACTCAGACTGCTGTTGCTGAGCTCTGCCCTGGCTGGGGCTTGCTGCAGTGGGCTGAGCAGAGGATTTTTCTATTCATTTGGCAGTGTCACCTCTGCCTGACTTAACTGTAGAGGTGAAACTTTACACTGTGTTTACAGAGCAGGAAATGCTTTTCATCAATAACGTACTTCAAGAGGAGCAAGACTGCTTGTATGGATAAGATAAAAATAGGTTAAAAGTGTGGGAGGAGTATACTGAAAAAAAGGAAAAATCTTGCATATGTATAAGCTATTAATAAAGTAAAACTTAGACCTTTTGTTCTAAAATAACTTTATATTGAACATTATCTTAATATAAACAGAAAGCTTTTTAAGAAAAGGAAGAAAGAAATGTATATGGGGGAAGGGGGTTAAGTAAGAAATGAATTTAATTGTTTACTTTTGGACCAGGGAAGACGTTTCAGGTCAACCAAAAGGGAAAAGAAAAACCAAACAGAAGAGCCCTGTAGTTCTGATTGCGATGACTCATGGAAACCAGATCTAGAAAAGTTGAGGCTCTTTAGTCCAAACTCTTAATCCCCTACTAGTATGAAACATTGTTCCCAATGGTGCCTACCAGTCCTGTTTTAAATGATCGGATTTTCCCTTGTCCCTTTGGGATACTGTTCCACGGTCTAATAGAATTAATCTGCTTACTTCTCTTTCAACCTCTGACCACTGCAGATGCAATTAGCAGTAGGCAATGGGAGGATTCTGTTTCCTATGCTGTATTATGAAGGCTTAGGGCTGTATTGTGTTAAACCAGACATCGGTAGCAAGCGTGCATGCAAGAGTGTGGCTTATCTGTCAGTACTCATTACAGCCCCATAAACGTCTTTGAACTAGAATTCTCAGACTCATAGGAGCTTTTCTACAGTCGTAATTTAGGATCTGATAAGGCATGGACTAATGTATTCGAATGCCTGTGAGAAAAAACAGTATGATTGGAAATTAAAATTAAATGTAGAGTCATATACTGCTTGTGCTAGAGACTCTGTTAGGCAATTGAAGTCTCTATTTCTGGAGTGTTCTCTAGCCTTGCTTTTGATTTCTCTTCTGAACAAACTGGTAGGGTCTATATGATTTATTTTTTTTTTTTTAATATGTCAGTGGTGACTGAGGAAAAGTGTACCTTTTCAGATGTGAATCTTAGGACTTGAATAAAAATTGTGGGCTGATGCTAACGGAAAGTCTCTAGCCAAATAGTCAGTTGAATATAAAGCCAAATAAATTAGAGATGAAAATTATAGCTGGTTTTATTTAGTCTGTCTTTCCACTCATTACAAATCTGAGCTTTCTTCTGTGATGTTTCATCCGTTTTGCTTCTTAAATTTGGAAGTGTTCTAGCAGCAAGAACTGTCACTCAGCTTCTCAAACACATGGATGGGGTTTGAACCTGTTCATGCAGGGAGGCTCCAGCACCAGCTGATCTGTACAGTCTGATGCTTGGATTCATCCACTGTAAAAGTGAATTAAAACACACAATCAAACTGGAAGCTATTGCAGTGTAGTTGCTGGTGGGTGTTTGACTGAGACTGCAATGTGAAGCAGGGCCAGGGGTTGTGAAGAGCTGGGCCAGCATTCCACATGGGCTTTATTCAGTGGTATTAAGGGAGAAGTTACAATCCTGCTCCTCTTCCCTTCCCATAAATCCCTGACTCTAATGTGCCGTAGCTTTTCTGGACTATTTCTTCAAATAGAAAGCCTCAATATAAGCATATCCACTGGTCACGCATTTCATTATTGAGATAAGTTAATTAAACTTATTAAAATTTGACTGTATTTATCAGATCAAAATTTCTTAAACTGAAGATTGAGTTAAAAAGCTTTGATGTGCTCTGTGAGTCCAGTGCTAATTTGCCCATTATTTTTAATCGGTTGAAATTCTTTTCAAGCTTGGTGGTTGGTTGCTTCATGTGGTTTTGTAACATACTTTAAAGGATGGGAAGGTGGTGAATGAAGCAGGGTGTAATGATCCATAACAACATACGTTCCCTGCCCCACCTTTGCCAGGCAAGCTTCATTCCTGTGAAAGTGTAAACCCAAGGCAAAAAACTACAGTTTCTCCTTCATTCTTCCCTTTTTCTGTTGCTTTATCTTGCTGCTCGCTTTTTAAAAGCACCGCATTAGCTGGGGGGCTGTGAAGTAAAAAGCATTCTTTAATACAGATGCTGGTTGATAGTCCTTTCAAAAGCTGCATTTCTCAAGCTGGGAGCTATTGACCCCTTTCAGTGCAGTCACAAAGAAATCCAAGAGGAAATGGAGGGTGAGGACTGGCAGGGAATATATATATATATATATAATTTCCCCCCCCTAGGTTGTCTTCTCACTCCACCTCCTGCCAGACTGGCTATTGTGTGAGACCCACATGGGATACCAGTCGCCATATAAGGAGAATTGCATCATGCTGCATTCTTTCTAAAAATTGATTTTTTACAGTTGCCTTATATTTTTCTTCCTCCTGAAAGTTTTCCAGCTTTTGTGGAAGATCTGGTCTAAAGGAAAGCAGTAGATTCAAGAACCGTGTGTAGTGTCACAGTCTGTGCAGAACTCATGGGAGCAGGGGATTATCTTCTTGCACCCTCTTGTACGGGGAGACAGTCTTCAGCATAGCTCTTTGTGGCTGCCAGCACTTCTGACTCCCTGGGATGCCCTATAAAAATCAGCTGACTTTCCTTTAAGAATCTATTGATTCATCCGGTAATAATCTGCCTATTTTCCTATAAGGAACTGTTAAAAATCTGTTTAGCAACTGGTAATCTTGCAGACTTCTTAAAAAACAAAAACAAGCAAAACAAGGAGCAAACAAAAAGAATGTTCCCTCTTAGAAACAGCAGCATTTGGGGTTTCATTTGCCACGGTAATGTCCTGGAGTGGGTTTGCAGCAGGGGAGAAGGAGGAAAATACTTTCTATTAATGTTTTCTTTTGCAGAAAATTAGTTGCTTGGTATTAAGAACTGTGTATGCATTGGAAATCAACCTTTTTTTTCCTTTCTGTAATGTTGAGACAGCACTTACGCTGCCATTTTCTCAAAATTACATGTGGACTTTTTGAAAGATTTGTTTTTAAGAAGGCCTAGAAATTGGGGCTGCATTGACCAAAGGAAGGAGATAGCATATTTGGGAGGTTGTTATTTTCTGTGAGTTCTCTTCAGACTGTGCGTTGAATTGCTAGGAAAAGCTGTGCTACTCTCATCCTTCTGCAAAATAAGTTCTCCCAGATAACCTTCTGTTGTGAAAAATTGGCCTTGTACTGAACGTATAATTGTGAGAGCTTCCTGAGATGCTTGAGTTTGCATCAAAATAGAAGGGAAATGCCCTCATAGAAAAACACAGGAAAACTTTCTTCACAAAATATAATTTGGTGGCTCATAAATACTGCCCATTCTGATAGCAAAATGAGGTGGCACTGACTTGCTGGGTTCTCAAATTACCATTGAATTGGCTCATGATTTTTGGTGGTTGTCATTGGTCATTTGATTTGACATGGTACAAATGCTCCTCACTGATGCAAACTCAGCCATATCATGGGCAAGGTGCTTTGCCAAAGGACGGTTGGGTTTGCTTGTGTGCCAGGGAAGGGAGGCTGAGCTGCCTTCCAGCTCCATGCTGAGCCCTGGAATGACGGCTCTGTGCAAAGTGAGAGGGGCTCTACATCTCTTAGACTGAGCCCTCTAGAAGTAACGTGTGCTTTTGATTTGTGAAATAAGTGAAGCTGGGGACTTAGTTTTAGAGCTGTTGGAATTATTTTCCATCTGCAGAGATTTCTCAGGGAGCAGATACATAAGACGGGTGTATATGCGTGTATTGAAGCTTTTTTTTCTTTAGCTTTTGAATAAGAGCTGGGATCAGTAAAAAGTGCTAACTATTAAAATCAGGAGTACGGATAGTATTATCTTGTCAGAGATGCGGTGGGTTTTGACAGTTGTTCATACACTTCCTAGCCCTGCTCCTCACATTCTGACAGGTGGAAGCAGCTTGTTTCCTGTCTGCCTTTCTTTCTCATCTCTACAGGGATGGTAAGAGGTTGGACTTGGTGATCTTAGAGGTATTTTCCAACTTAAATGATTCTATGAATCTGTGATGAGAGCTGGTAAGTTTTCTATTGTAGAAAGTTGTGATTAAAGTATTTTATTTTGTGCAGAAACTGGCTTTCTGAAACTTTGCATTCATTTTCAGAGAAACCTGAAGATGAAAATGGTTGGGGTTTTTTTGGAGGGTTTATCTTTTTTTATCTTTTTTTTTTTTTTTCTTATTTCTGTTGCTAATTCTTTCTGTGACACAACAGGAATAGGCAATGGTGAAAAAAAAAGAAGTAATACAGAAATTCTGTTTCCTTAAATGAAAGACAAAAAAGAAAGCAAAATAACTGACTTTTAAGCTTGCAAAATATGAAAAACTTGAGCATGCTTGTGCTGGACAAGGTAATAGTGGATAATTGGATGGTTCTCGGTAGCACGTGGCAGGAGTGGGAAGATATGGACAAAAAGTAGGAGTTGTGTGGTTGGATGTGGTGGGATATAGTGGCAATGCTTGGCCTGTATTTTAGCTTCCGTACCCAGCCTGTGGAAGTGTAGAGCCAAACTGAGCCCTGTCTGCAGCTATTTCTTTCCTGAAAAAGCAGAGCACAATGCTTCTAGGAGTGGACCAACCCCCCAGTTTCACATACAAAAATAAATATGTTCCATAGCAGTCATGTTTAAGCAACATAAACTTCCTTTTTTTTTTAATTATTTGTGAAAGGTTTATTGTCATATCTTCCAACCACTCGGTGGGTGTTAATTTTCAGACCTGCTGTAGCATTGGCTTGAAATGTCAAAATATCTAAGAGCTGTAATGGGCTCAGTCTTTCCTTGCTGTATAGCATGAAGCAGCCACTGAGTACAGGAGGGTAGGAGGAAGGTTCTCCTGGGAACTGCCTGTGCTGTAATTGTCATCTTGAGCCTCTTCTGGCGCTTGTC